TAAATTTTCAAACCCAAACTCCCACTAAATCATCGGTTCTCTTATATGGCCACTACTAGTACACTTAGTAAAATTTCAACATGCTCAACATTTTCTCCTATGTAAGCACATAATATCCTATTTACATATAGTTAAGCACACTTAGAAAATAATTTGGGTATATTGGAAATGAGATGTTACAGATGGCGGGTCCCGATCCTAATTAAAAATCTTAGGTCTGGTAACCGGTTTATTAACAATATTTTTTACATATAAATGTTATACATGTTTCTACAACTATGATCTAGGCTTGAGAAACTTAAAATTTCATAATCCTAGGCTTGAAAAAAAGACTTAAAACCATGTAAAAATTCATAAAAAACTTATATTCGGATTGCTCGTTAGTTAAGTTAGATAAAAACTTAATAAAATGGTCATATACATAATTAATTCCGGGATAAAACCATGAAATTTCATGAAACTTATAACTGGTCCCAAACCACCGTGCATAATTGCTCCTAGGCCGGGCTAGACTCGTTTTAGCTTTCTCTACCCTGCCCGTTGAGAGACCTTTTTGAGAAGGAAGATGGAGTTGAGGGAAATAAATTGATTAAAGTCAAGTGCCGAGGGGAAAAATTGATTAAAGTCAATAGTTGAGGGACTAGACATGTACTCTTGGACCAGAATAATTTAAACCAACCGCGGTCTCAACATATTCAAAATTTTCAAATCCTTAAACCCCCAAACGTCCACTCCATTTGAATCCTAACCCAAATCTCTCTCTCTCTCTCTCTCTCTCTCTCTCACTCAATCATCAGCTCACGATGCCACACGTTTCTGAGATTTCCGGCGACTTCAAGACTAGATTTGGGTACCAAGAACATTGCCGTCCATCGGAGTCTATGCAGCCATCGGTCAGGGGTACGCCAGATCTTTTGAAATCAGTACTCAAAGAAACTCCTTTCAATTCATCGGCCGTTTCAAGCTTCAGAGATAGAGGGGATTATTCATCTGTTACGGTTAATCTAAACGATAGTTTTGAGTTCCGAGAAGATCCTTCCTTTTGGAAAGACCACAATGTTCAGGTACTACTCACTGCTTTAGGTTTTCGATTTGATCATTTAGGTCTACTTTCTGGAGAGTAGTAAATTTTATAAGAAACTTAATATTCTTCTCAAGATTTAACCTAAGCGATTTTAGATATTGTTTGATATATTATGCTGATGAAAATTGCTTTTCAACTTCACCGTAAGTTTTATTTCATCTGAAAATGCAAATACTTGTATCTTGGCCTTACTCTCAGGATTTCAATCTAAGCTATTTTAGATTTTTTTCTCCATAAATTTATGCCGACAATCATTTTTATTTTTTTAGTTTCTATAAGTTTATTTGATTTCAAAAGGTAACTACTTGATCTATTCGCTACTACCTCCTTACTAACAGAAACGGCATATGCGATTTGTTGATCTTCAAACCTAGTATTATTGGGGGATGATGGGTTTGGTAGTGTGAGCACTTGACCATGCTGGATATTAAGGTTAAATTGGGGGGGGGGGGTGAACTCCGGGCAACCTGTGCTTTTAGCCAGGGGATTAGCCACAGTGGAAGTGGGATGATGATTCATGGATCAAACTTGGTTTGGTGTTGACAAAGTAGAGTTGCACATATTGTTGATCCTTTGTAACTAGCAAGGTCTGAGCAGGAGTATTGCAAGAGGACAAAATTGACATGCCATTTGTTACTAATTTATCATGAGAAATTTTCCGAACTGGCACTACTTTGTCTACAACAATTCAAGATTGAAAAGTAAGATGTTTAATTCAAATTTTTAAAAACCAAGAATTTTGAACCTTACTTCTAAAATGCTATCAAATGCAGGTCATCATAAGGGTACGCCCTCTTAGCAATTCTGAGATAGCTGTTCAGGGACCAAGTAGATGTGTTAAGCAGGGCAGTAGTCAGTCAATTACATGGACTGGGCCCCCAGAAGCACGCTTTACCTTTGACCATGTTGCTGATGAACATGTTAGCCAGGTATATTTCAGATCTTTCAAGTACATCATTTATGTGCTTCATTCCTTACACTGGTAATTTTGCAGGAGATGCTATTCAAAGTTGCTGGAGTACCCATGGTAGAAAACTGCATGGGAGGCTACAACAGCTGCATGTTCGCTTATGGCCAAGTGAGTTTGGCTACTTTTATGTGCTATCTTCTGCTATTCTAAGAAGAAATACATTGTTCAATTGAATTTCTTTCTAGTTGATTGGTTGATTATTAATATAGATTGCATAGTACAAGTATCCTTTTAGCAAAATTCTAGGTGACAACATACTTCTTTCTAACATCACTGTGACTGTTTAAGTGCAGACTGGTAGTGGAAAGACCCACACGATGCTTGGGGACATAGATGGGGGTTCTCGAAGGCATAGTGTTAATTCAGGGATGACACCCAGGGTCTTTGAGTATCTGTTTACACGGATTCAGAAGGTAAATTATTTTCTACGTTGGGTCTGTTTATATAATACATTCATCAAACAGTTTCCCATGCTTGGGGGCTTTCGTATGTACTCCTAAATTGGACAGTACATATGTTATGCTTATAACTGTATCAATCATTATAATCTCATTCCAGAGCTCCTTGTAATCATAACTGTTGATAGCCTGGTGTGCTTTGTGCATCCAACCGAGGTGCTGCAGGATAGGGAGGCTCGGAGAGAAGAAAAAATACAATATACCTGTAAATGCTCGTTTTTGGAGATATACAACGAGCAAATACTTGACCTGTTAGATCCATCATCTACCAATTTACAGGTCACACTTGGCATGCTTTTTATTTCTCAACCTTTCAAGTTTGTTTAGTGCTGTTACTTTGTTTCTTTACTACTTTCCATCTCATGGTTATGGAAGAGCTAGGTTTTTTGCTTCTGATTTTTAAGGCATAACCAATTTAACTAGGAAAGTATATTTAATAGCATAAAATTTTTCTGTTATTTACATGGTCATTGAAAAGTTTGGTACATAACTTTAGATTTTATTGCTACTATAGAAAATAAAATTTTAATGTTTTGTATATTTCCAGATAAGAGAGGACACTAAGAAAGGGGTATATGTCGATAATCTCACTGAGATTGAGGTTATAAGCGCTAGAGACGTGATTCAACAACTTATTCAGGTTTGCTCTAACTTACATATTTGCAGTTCCATTAAGTTCTCAATGTCAACACTTAATGTTTCTAATCATAAGTTGGAATAGAATCACTAGTTCGTAGCTAAATATAATCAAAACTTGTATCAATGGACAATTGGTATGTATGTGTGTAACATGTATCTGACTAGATAGCAAAACATATATGTAAACATCCACTGGCTCTTTGACTGCTTCATGTTAGCTTAGTCATCATAATGGTAAGATGTTATGTTTTTGTGTGCGTCCATTTAGAGAAGGGATGGGGGTGGGTATTACACGACCTTAAGTATAGAATGAAACGGTCCTTGTTTGGAAGTAGAGTGACCTCATCTTTCTTGCTTCTGGTGAAGTTTCTGCAAACAAAGGAATGCTGTGCTGGACATCATCCTAAATACAAGTTGGTGATGTCATTCTCTATTTGAGGCTACTTTTTCAATATAGAGATGAAAGAAGAGAAGTTGAAAGACTGGATTTGCAAATTATGACCATGAATTTGCAGTTTATATTCTCTCAAACGTCATGTTTTCTTTAGGTTTGATATTATGAAGATGAAATATTGCAAGTTGAAACTGAAAATTACGAGCAATAACAAATATGATATCCTCCTAATGACACAACTATGTTAGATAAAAATCTGGAATTGGACTTTATGCTTGAAACAATTAAAATCTTGAACTTCATACTTTCTACTTATTCTGTTTCTGTTCTATTTGAGGAGTACAAGACCAATAAGAGTAATACTATCCCAGAGTTGGAGGTTAGACCCTATAGACAAGTAGGTTTCTGAATTCAGGAGAAGGACATGATGATGATATATGCCACTTGAATAAACACATTATTATTATGCCGTCTGTAAGTTGGATATTTTGAGTGTATTTCAGGGTGCAGCAAACAGAAAGGTTGCCTCCACAAACATGAATCGTGCCAGCAGTCGCTCTCATAGTGTGTTTACATGCATAATAGAAAGTAAAGTGAGTAGCCTTTCTTCTATATCATTATGATGATAAACTCTGATGCTTTTACTGGTGTTCATTAGTCTCAAGTTTTAACCAACTTCCTTGCTTATAGTGGGTCTCTCAAGGTGTGACACATCATCGGTTTGCCCGTCTTAATCTTGTGGATTTGGCAGGCTCTGAAAGGTAGCATTTAAAAACTTCAAATCCTTTAAGGAAATTAAGGAACTGTACTATATGCTGATGTGTGATGCCATAATGTAGGCAGAAAAGTTCTGGTGCTGAAGGAGAACGTCTAAAAGAAGCCACCAATATAAATAAATCTCTTTCAACTTTAGGGTATTTTATTCAGACTTCTTATTATGCAGCTCTTCAAATTAATAAAATACAACTTTATCTTTTGACCAACTGTATTTTAACTTAATTGCTTCTTTATGCCACCACATGTGCAGACTTGTTATCATGAACCTTGTCAATGTATCAAATGGGAAATCTCTTCATGTTCCATATCGGGATTCAAAGCTCACATTTTTACTTCAGGTTTTTCTTTCTTCATTCTTATTTGTAAATATGTAACGATGGACGAGTGTTATGAGTTGCTATGGTTTGAGAGAGTGTCAAGTTCTTTTGTCATTGTTTGGGTGAAGTTAGGGGTTTTGGTCTCTTGGCAATGCCTACACTTGGGTAGAATGAGTTGTGTGTTTTCTTACTCAATTTCTGTTTTTGCAAAATTAGTTCACTGTGGATTGATATGAAATACTAATATAATAGAATGCATGAATTTCAGGATTCTCTGGGAGGGAATTCAAAAACTACAATAATTGCTAATATTAGTCCATCTAGTTGGTAAGTGCATCTACTACACTCTCTGGCTTTACATAATTCCTCTTATTGTTTTTGCACTAATTTGCTTGGTGCCAAGGTCTCTTGAATGAGCTAAAACTCAGATCAAATGCCTCTCTTAATCAACTACAGATTGTTATTGGAGTATCTTGTTTAAAATATCTTCAATTACTTGAAATTTTGAGTTTTCAATAATGATCATAAAGTGATGGCTTTCATAAGAGGCATTTTGGCGAAAGCAAATTATGCACAATGGTAAAACTGGAAAACTTATACAAATAGATATTGGGTACAGCACATGAACATCATGTCATTGAATGGTAAAGGTTGCTAGTTATTGGAAACATTGTCACCCTAAATATTATCGATAATTTGTTTGTCCTTAGATTTCTTTGATTCATGTACCTGTAATGGAGTAACTTATGTATGACTCTGCAGCTGTTCATTGGAGACATTGAGTACACTGAAGTTCGCTCAACGTGCAAAATTCATCAAAAATCATGTATGTTCATGCCTTCTGTACTTGTTAAAAGCCTGCCTTGGGCACCCCTAGGCTCAGAGGCTCATCAAGCTCAAGGTCTTGGGCTTTTTTAAAGTCAAGGCTAGGCGAGGCTCACTAAGGCCTTGTGCCTTGGCTAAGGCTCTTTGTGGGCTTAGGCACGCCTCATAAAGAGTTATTAGATACCAAGTCAAACCCCAACGTTAAATAAGTTTTCTCATCTTCTTATCTCCCAGACTTCTTAAAAAAAGAGTTACTAAATAGATGACATAAGTCAAACCCTAATATTAAGTACCTAGTTCTTATAACATAAAGCCTCTTTCTCTGTAAATACCCAGACCTTAAAACTTCTCCCTCATGGCTTAGGCTTTAAACCCTTCTCCCTTGTGCCTTTATCGAAGTACTGTTGGTTGCTGCACTGTAGTACCTGCTACTTATTTGAATTGTGTATAATTTTGTGTGTGTGTATATACTGTTTTTAATAAGATGCGCCTGACGCTTGCGTCTTGCGCCTAGGCCCCGAGACCCCTTTGCGCCTAAATGTGCCTTGAGCCTTTAACAACGTTGATGCCTTCTCTTGTGAAAACAACTATTTTTGAGTCAGATGACAACTAGTTTTTGTGTATGACTGCCGTGAAAAAAAAGATTGTTACATTAATCTTTTTAAAAGTTGGTCCATCTTCTTTGAGGGTCAATATTTAGCTTCATGAATCACTCTGGACTTCTTCTCATCATCTAACTTCACACACCCACATGAAAACTTCTTTTGAACTGATTTAGTGGGATGAAATTAATGTATCTACATTGTTATCTTACTGTATACATTTATCTTCTCATGTAGTTACTAACTTTTGAAGTATGCTTGAAATGATCTCAGGCTACCATAAACGAAGATGCTTCTGGAGATGTTCTTGCTATGAGGATGCAGATTCAACAACTGAAGGTTTTACCCACATCTTGGCTTTTCTGTTGACATTTTATCATTTTTCATCATATATTTTCAGGAGATAAAATTACTTATTTGAAGTGTCTGTATGTATTGAACATGTTCTTTCCATTCTTTTTTCTTGCAAATAACAGTTTGGCAAGCTGGTTAATACTTTGATGCTACAACATTGAAATTCTAGGGTCATTTATCTTCATCTCGTAATTTTATGAATAAATACTTGGCTAATTCATGGGTTGACAGCTCCTCTTCTTCTCACCCGAATGCACCTATTGTTTGTGACATGACTCACTCTGGGGGTCTTGTGTAGTGAAGCTCAATAAAAACTAAAAAAACTATAGACAGCTGGAGGAACAGCGACACAAGCAACTTGGGGCATGCCAACTGATCATGCTGTGTTTTAAAACAAGTTCGAGGAGAGTGTATAAAGAAATAGTTAGAGGGAACATAAATTGGAAGAGCATCAACTTTCCAGCTTTCATGATTTTGTGTAGTCGGTTAGGTAGGTAGGCTGTGGTTGACCGTGCTTGTGATCAGGTCTTACTACAAAAAATTATTTTGACAAAAAAAGGTTAATGGAAGGAAATTTATCCCTAAACCGATGAAGTTTCTGTATTTCATTTTTACCATGTGCACGTGCTTCTAGACTACGAAAAAAATACACCATCAACCTTTATGCCTTTGAATTCTAAAATTTCAATTGAAATGTATTGAAGATTGCACACAGGAAAAAAAATACTAACATTGTGTTGCAATAGTTGTTTTGGTCTTCTATCTAGGCTTTGAAAGTTATAGTGATTTTACAACTAAAATTTCTTTGTTTCTTGGGAAATGATGTCTGCGAAGTTTTTAGTATGGTGACACAAGTGGTCTTACCACTCCTACATTACATAAGCATGTGACAGTTCATGCTGAAGGTTAATGATTAATGTAGGAGATGGATTGTAGTTCTTATGTTATTGAATGGTTATTGGAAGTTCCGTTTTCTTCCTTTCTCCATTTGTACTTTTTCATCTATATTCATTTCCTTTTTGTTTTTAGTTCAAAAGGATACCTAAATTATAGTATATCATTCACTGCATCATTCTGGGATTAAAGCAAAGTAGAATGCAGTCCTGCAACACCTGAGTTATTTAATAGAGTCTCAGGGGCCTTTTACCAAACGCTTACCGGCAAACGTCACTACCCTAGTGTACCTAATTGGCTAACATTCTCGGCCATCAACATGTAATGTTGGTAAGCGTCTTTCACCCGGTAAGCACTGACCGGGTAAGATTCTCGGTCCTTGCCATGCTCACCCAGTAAGGTAAGTGACACCTGTTAAGTGCTTATCCGGTAAGCGTTTGGTAAACAGCCCCGGTTTCTATGCTAACCAAGTAAGGAACTTTGTCAATGAGTTATATGTTATTTATTTTATTGCCTGTAATCGAATATTTTCTCATCATCAGAAAGAAGTATCTCGTTTGCAAAATGTGATTAATGGGGGAACTGAGAATCATGACGATGATGCTTGGACTGTCTCTTTTCCTGGATCTCCAGGATCTTTCAAGTGGGAAGGGATTCATGGATCATTTAGCCCAGTTTCTGGTGTTAAACGAATGTCACAGGTACTTGTCATATTCACAGATGATGATGCTAAGAAAATAGAGTGATAAGCTTTTTACTTATCGTCCTCGGTTTTTGTTGCAAATGAACCATTATTCCTGTGAAAATGCGAAAGAAAAAAAAGAACACTGCACTTCAAAAGGATTGATTTTTGCAGAACATTGGGACATGCAAATGCAAAATTAACCATTTCACTCCACATTTTCCTAAGTTCATTCTTGTGTCATGTAGTGCATCTTTTAGCATTTTTGCAAGAACGACGGTGTCATTGCAACAAAAACCAAGTTCGGTGGTTTGAAAGTTTAATCACCCTTAAATAATAGTTATGAACTTATACTTTAAAAAATGCTGTCAATAATTGCAGAAAAAGGAGTATGAAGTAGCACTTGTTGGTGCTTTTAGGAGGGAAAAGGATAAAGACATCACCTTGCAGGCATTAACAGCTGAAAGTCAGGCTGCCATGCAATTGGTATGTAACTACAAGAGGCTGAGTTAGTTAACGATTTTCAGTTAGAAGTCTAATCAGACTTATTTTTGGCAAGATTAGGCAAAACAAAGGGAGGATGAGATACAGGGCCTGAAAATGAGATTAAGATTCCGTGAGGCTGCAATAAAAAGGCTGGAGGGAGTCGCCTCTGGTAAGATCTCTGCCGAGACACACTTGCTAAAAGAGAAGGAAGAACATTTGAAGGAGCTAGAAGTCCTACGCTCCCAGGTTGATAGGAACCAGGAAGTGACGAGATTTGCCATGGAAAATTTGCGACTAAAAGAAGAGATCAGAAGGCATGTGGCTACTTTGTCTTTTATTTATTCTTGCTTTTGATTGTTTGAAAGTCCTAGGAAACCATGCCCAAATGGGTGAAGAAGCTGTTGCCACCTGTCAAGTAACATATCTAGTAAAGTAGTAATTCAACGAACAATGCACAAGCGTGGGAATATCAGCTCATGATCTTTTAGATTATCCTGAGCAAGTGCCAACACTTGAGCATGCTGAGCTTGTTGTGGCTACTTCGTTTATTTGGATATTGTATTTCTCATAAATGATGGCTGTAACTTTACCCCTTCTAACTTCATGCTTTAAATACAGATTAAAATCCTTTTTTGAAGAAGGGGAGAAACAACAAATGGATGAACAGATGAGAATACTCGAGGATAAGGTCCATTAGCATTTGATTTATGTTGAAATTTCCATACCTTGTTTCTCTCGGTTATGGGCTCACTTGCACTTTTTTAATGCTAATGTATAATATGCAGTTGCTGGAAGCTCTAGAGTGGAAACTCATGAACGAGTTAGAGGCTTCACATGTGAAGGTATATTATAAGCCATATGCAATAACATGATGTGTTATGCTCAGTCGTCAGAAAATTTAGTTTTCTAATTCAGGTTCATTTTTCTTTCTCCTCACCATCGTAATATCACCATTTTTGTATCTAATGAACCAGGAAAAAAGTTTCGACTTGTTGATGGATAGTCAGAGAGATGGTGACCTTTTTAGCCTTAAGGTAAATCTATTGCTAATTTAACCTCAAGGGCTTGGCCTACTATGTGACATGCGATAAAATTACTTGCTTAACGCTTAGTGATGCATGCATTTATTGCAGGACCCTATAACCCCATGCCGCACCGAGAAAACTCAATTTGAGTTCCCTTTAATAACCACACCCAATGTTGCTTTAAGTGACCAAAGAGAGCTACAAACCATGGTTGACGCTATTGCAGCTGCAAGTCAAAGAGAAGCAGAAGCTCATGAAACTGCAATTATATTGTCTAAAGAAAATGATGATCTGAGATTAAAGCTCAAGATGTTACTTGATGACAACAATAAACTGATTGAACTTTATGACCGGGCAGTTGCAGACAGTCAACAGAACATTCTCAGAGCTGAAGAGAGTAAAAAGGACCATGTTGACTATAATGAGTTTGCTCAAAAGGAACTTGAAATGAAAAGGGAAAATGAGAACTTAGAGCATCAGCTCGCTGAAATGCATGAAGAGAACGATAAATTACTAGGATTATATGAGAAGGCAATGCAAGAGAGAGATGAGTTGAAAAGACTTGTTTGTTCAAGTGAGCAGAAAAGCCGAGATGGAGCTAATTGTGTGGAGAAGCTGGTTGAGGTGGATGGAGGGGATGAAGTCCAGTTGGACGATTCTGCTCATGCCTTACTTGGTGGAAGTCATTTAGTAGAAGTTCCTGTGCAGGATGAACACAGTAGGTGCTCCAGTCCAATAATACGTGAATATCTTGAGTCAAACGAACCTTCCACCAGTTCAATGGAGGTAGAGATTGTTGAAAAGTTCAGTTCCTGTGATGAACCAAAGATGCAGGATAGATTTGTTGACACGATAAATATTCTACGTGAAAAGTTGGATAAAGCGCAAGAACTGCTTTCAAAATCTTCTGAAAATGTCACTTTATTTAGTTCACTTGAAAGAGAGATTATCGATATTGATAGGCTTTCAAGGGAAATACAAGCATTAGAAGGTGTGGTTCAGATGAAACGGAAAGAGTATGATTCATCAAATCTTGTTATCTGTGATCTAAAAGAACGAGAAAATATGTTCGACAGAAAGCTAACAGCAGTGCGATACTCCATGGCCAACTTCTCTTCATCTCTTGGTTACTTTGAACAACGTGAAGCTCAGGCCAAGGTCAGGACACATTCGGCATCGTCTCATTTGAAGTTAAAGAAAATGGAATTTGCCCGACTTCAGGCTAGCAAGGCCGAGACTGAACGTGCTCAGATGAAAATTAAAGAATCTGAAGTGGAATTGAAGAACAACATGGCATCACTGAAGCAAAAAATCGAGGAAGAGAAGAAGAAGCGTGAAAAGGACACAGTTCTCCTTGCTATTGATAATGTCGAAAACTCAGAGGTGCATAGAAACTGGCAACTAGGTGGTAAAGCAACCGAATTGCTCAAATCTGAAGAAGAAAAAACAAAGCTACAACTTCAAATGAACCATGATAGAGAAAAGCTCGAAATTGTCAGAGAAGAAGGTGAAAAACTGAGCAGAAAGTTAGAGGAAGTGGATCAAGAAATGCAGGTGGCTGAAATGGAGATACAAAAGTGCACAAAGTCTATGGAGGAGATGGAAAACAAGCTGCAAAGCATTGTTCATGAGAGAAAGGTGGTTTCGGACATGAAAGAAACTGGAAGGAATGAATTCGAGAATATGTTGATTGAATTTGTGCAAAATGTGTTTGAAAGGGAGTTGAAAGAGGAAGAGACAAGGATTTTGAGAGAAGAAATGGATATGGAGATGAAAAGAGAAGAGGGGTTGAAAGAAGAAAGGAGTAGGAATATGCAGAAAATGAGTCATATGGTGGAAGAGACAACAAGAGGGATGTTATCAGAGAAGTTGGTTCAAGATCTTGAAAGCATTTGTTCATCGTTTATGGAGCTAAGTTCAGTGGTTGAGGATCTGCAATCAAATTCCATGGCCATTATTAACTAACACCATCTGGTAAAACATGAATTCTATTGGAGTTGCATCATGTAATTTTACTTTTAACGTCTTCACGGTGTGATTATATATAGAGTTGAATTCTGGTGAGAACTTATTGTTAGACCTTGAAAACTTTTCACAATTGTTGATCGAATTTTCAACTATTTCATCCAACAACGTAGATCGTACATCCTCTGTTTGTAAAAGAAGGGGGCAATTTGGTTTGTTGGTCATCTAATCTGGATGCATTAACATACATTAACATGGTAGATTTCATGTTAACGAATGCTGAAATATGTTACTAGTATATGGTAAGGTTTGTTAAAGTATGTTAATGTGAGGCATGTTGTGTGTTCACGTGTGTCCATATTTGTTAAGTTCAGCATTTTCAGGTTAAAATGCATTAAGGTTTGCATATTATAGTGTGTTAAAGCTGAGGACAACAAAGAGGGTCTCATGGTAAAAGAAGTTATCACATGATCTCATTCTCTCTCTCTCAAAAAAAAAAAAAAAAACACACACATTAGGTTCAAACCTGTGTATTACATGGGGCATTTTAACAAAAATCAAATGATTTTAGGAAACTCATCTTCTATATATGAATGATCGTCGATAGGGATGATATGATGAAAATCAGGTGATTCAAACGGTGCAATGTTGTTAAACAGAAACCTTTATTGCTAATTCGTGTATCAAAGAACTACAGAGGGGGGATCAGAGGTGGATCAAAGCAAGTAAGACGGACCAGAAATGCCTTAATGCAGAGCTCTGTATAAGCAAACCAAAGGCTTTGCAAGTACTATGCAGAGGCTTTGCAACTACTATGCACAGACTCTACAGGTACCATGCAGAGCTTTGCATGTTGTCCTTCATGCTTGTCCATGCAATCAAAACCTCAAAGACTGGAACTCAAGTATTAGAGCTCACAAAGATCAGACTTCACAATGGACAAGAGCTGGACCATAGATGGATCAAAGGTTCAAAATCAGAGGTCGATGGTCTAGAGCTCGTGGAATGAAAGTGCTATGGATTTTATAAAAAATTAATAAAAATATGAATAAATATTAAGCATTTGTAAATAAAAATTTATAACTGAACATAAATGAAATTATGGAAAGGCAAGTAGTTAAAATATTAATAAAATAAGAACCACGTATTATAAATTACTAAATACTTCTTTATATACAACATTCTTTGTTCTATTGCTAATTATGCCATTATCATCTATAATTAATATTTTTAAACCTTGCCTGCTTTGAACTCTAGATAAAGAAAAATATAATTGACCATTGGTGAAGATTGATTGCCTTAGAAATAGACCAACCTTCGATGATGACTGTACCTGACTTTTATTTATGGTCATGACAAAACATACAACAATTGAAAATTGTCTCCTTTAAAATTTGGTGGAACCTTTTGTCAGTAAGTGTTAAAGACATTCTTGGAATAAATGTCTGGCTTCCAAAATTTATAAAGAATTAATAAAAATATGAGTAAATATTAAGAATTTGTAAAACAAAATTTATAACAGAATATAAATGAAATTATGGAAAGGTAAGTAGTTAACATATTAATAAAATAAGAACCACGTATCATAAATTACTAAATACTTCTTTATATACAACTTTCTTTGTTTTATTGTTAATTATACCATCAACATCTATAATTAATACTTTTAAACCTTGTCTGCTTTTAACTCTAGATAAAACAACATATAGCTGACCATTGGTGAAGACTAGTTGTCTTAGAAATAGACCAACCTTCGATAATGACTGTCCCTGGCTTTTATTTATGGTCATGGCAAAACATACATCAATTGAAAATTGTCTCATTTGAAATTTGAATGGAATCCTTTTGTCTGTAGGTGTCAAAGACATTCTTGGAATAAATGTCCGACTTCCAATATTGCTTCCAGATATGATCTCTGCTTCTATAACCCGATTTCCCAAAGATAACACTGTAGTCTAGTTCCATTACATAATTCAGATTTCTGATCAATATTCCTTAGTAACATAATTGGAACACCGACTTTTAGTAATATCTTATGGTTTGACAAATATGATAATTTAAGATCATTTAAGACATCCGGTGAGTACAAAGTTTTATCAAACTGGTCGTGAAGTTGCTCTGTTCACATAGGCTATCTGAACTTAGGTACTGCTTTTTCGTCTCTTGGGAATAATGATAGTAAACGGTCATTTATTTCTTGAACGATTTCGTGTTCTAGTGCAAGAATTGCTCTTTCCTGAAAATAAGACAAATTATTGATATTTACAAGAATTGAAGGATAGACAAATTCAATTAACATAGATATAGGATCCGTTGAATCGGTAATGAGAAGATCATGAGGTACATCAACAAGTGCCTCACCATCATTCACACTACCAACCTTGCCTTCTCCTAAATCCAAAATCCAGTTTGCAAAAACCCTTGTCTGTTCAATTTCAGAAGCTTCACTGTCAACAGTTAACCTCATGTTCTTAGTTAACCTTAAGACTTTGCATTTTCCCCAAATGTAAGATGAACTTAACGACACATTAACAATGTCTTGTCTAGTTGCGTTGGGAATAACCATCATAATTTATCTGAAATCTTCTCCAAAAACAACTACTTTGCCACCAAAAAGCATTTGTGAGTCACTAATGCCTCGATTATTAAAATATCGTTCATACTTCTATCCAATGCTTCAAATGCATGCCTATGAACCATTGGTGCCTCATCCCATATAATCAACGTAATCTTCTTTATTAAGTTCGCAACATCGTTGTCTAGCTTTATATGACAAAGTGAATTTTCATTAATAATTAGAGGAATTTGAAAGCGAGAGTGTGCTGTTCTGCCTCCGGTAAGAAGTAAAGAAACAATACCACTGGAAGCAATGTTTAAAGCAATTTCTCCTTTAGATCTTATTGATGTAGATAATGTCTTCCATAGAAATGTTTTATCTGTTCTACCATGACCATATACAAAAAACACACCTCCTCGGTTATTTTGAACAACTGTGATGATATCGTCATAAACACACTCTTTGCTCATTTGTTAAAGTAACTAGAAGTTGATGAATCCCGTAGATTAGCTATGTTGTAATCTAGCTCCTCCGTAATCAAACGATTGTTTGAAGATTCAAGAGAATCATTATCAAGATAAGACATAGTGGTGAATTTTTTTTAGGCTAGAATTGTTACGAAGTAAAATCTTTTCAATTTCAAACAACGTCAAGTTCTTGACTTGTTCTTCATTGAGAGATAAATTTGTAAAAAAATATAATGAAAATGTAAACAACCATAAAATAAAAACTAAAACTAAAAAACAATTTAAGAAAGAACATAATATTTAAGAAATAATAAAACAATAAATTATTTTGTATTCAAATAACAACTGTATAAATCTATACTTATAATAGATAATTAATATACCTGTAGATTTTAATGCAATTCGTTGATTGTAAAGAATGCAATCTGTCAAGTATTGCCATGTTTTTTTGCCAAACAAACTCAGGTCTAGACAGACTATTTGAAATCAACATGGTTGCAAATAAGAAGCATAGATAAAACCCAGATCCGGTTAAACTTGCTTCTTCAATGGCATCAACATATTCCTTGTCATCATCTAAAAGACCAAGAGCATAACATGCACCTCTAAAAGTAGGAAATATATCTCCATTTACTGTACGAACGTCTTCAAATGATTTAAGACCTTTCACTTTATTCAAAAGAATTCTTAAATAATATGCTTCTTCTAGGGTAGGAGAAACTAAATGAATTCTTCCAATTGAGAAGCCTTTTTTCCTTCGATCCCAACGTCTCTCTTCCAGTTTCCACACAAAATCTGTAGGGAATTCAACATAAGTAAGTTTTCGTGCTTCTTGATAAATTTCGTTACACTTCATCCAAGCTATGAACATTGAAGACACCACACAGGGTCTGTTTATAACATTTTCAATATCATCTTCAGTACCAAAAACGACTTGTTGTTGTCCAGGAAGATGGAAAGGAAGTCTCAAAACAGAAGAATTCCTGTAATTAACATCGTACCCAAAAATACGCCATGAAGCTTCACATGCAGACACATATTAACAGTCATAATATTCCTTTATTTAATCAACAAAACTATTAATAACTTCATCATTACTGCTTTCTACAACAGCAACGGTAGCTTTATCTGAACCTTTGTTGATATATTTGAACACCTATTTAATAGAAGAAGCCTAATTGCACCACTCAACATTAATGTGTGCCTGATATCTTTTCAAAAGATGTTTGTTATATGCTACAAAATTTCTGTTATCTAGTTTAACACCTGACTTTTCAACAAAACGTCCATCATTTCGTCTGCCATATAAAGGATAACCATTAACATTGATAGAAGTGTGTTTAGAAAATCTTTTCGGATTATTTTTTGAAAACTTTCTATCAATCATGCATGGACAGTTAATGTTCTCTTCACCACAAGGACCATAGATCATGAACTCTTTTACAAGTGAGTACAAATCTTGATCTTTATTTTTGTCTGGGATCTCAACTGAGATAATATGATGAATTTGTTCAACAGTAGGTAGCTTAAAATTAGAGTGCATAAATAGACATATATGACTATGAGTCAAGCCACGCTTCTGAAATTCAACTGTATTGTTATCTCTCATATTTCTTTTAATGTAAAAGTATGAAAAAGTATTACTGCAAGTGTTGACAGAAGGGTTCATTCCACAGAAGACCACAGAGGACCAACAACAGAAGATGATCATTCGTACAAGTCAAGATTGACAGAACCTCTGTTGTCTCTCACAGAGGTTCTGGAAAATAGTCCTCTGTTATCAAGAGCTTACAAGTCATATCCAGCAGAGTCTCTGGGATGGCTCACAGAGGGTCTGCAGTTTATCTTCTGTGAAGAACCACTTCTCACTGCTTTACTTAGGTTTGTTAGCTGCACGTGCTTATCACGTGACTATGTTTGTAATCTGCTTTATTTGAACGRCTTAGATCATTTCACTTGTCTAGGTCATGTCAGAAAAGCCATTAGGAACTAGTATAAATAGCAGCTTAGGCCTTAGTAATTAAGTGTGCTTCCATATTGTAATTGTCAATATTTTCAATAGAATTGAAAATCATTTGAAGCTATTCTCTCGTGTTTTTCATATTCATCATCTGTGTTCTTGATTGATTAATTACTCTGTTTGTTCTTATACTGTTTCCGCTGCACTGTTATTGTTCTTAAAGATCATCCATAGTATTTGGTTAATATCATAAGCTAAATCTAGAGGTCCTAACAATTGGTATCAAAGCAGGAATCAAATTCTAATTTGATTTATTCTGTTCTTGGTATTAATCTGCATTTGCTCAAGAACACCAGTCTTCTTCTTCTTCTTCTTCAGGTTACCCTGTTTTACTCTATTCTATCAGTTTCATCTTATTCCTATTTTTCTTCTTCTTTCAATGGCGAATCTGGCCAATACATCTTTCATGAGCACTGGTTCTCAATCTAAACCTCCCACGCTTATACGTGAGGAGTACTCCCAATGAAAGGTGCGAATGGTTAGTTTTCTAGAAGGAATTCACCCAAGGATATGTGAATTTCTTTATGATCCTCCTCATGTCCCCATGAACTTAATTCCTAGAGTTCCAGCCACTGGAACAACTCCAGAAATTCCCGAGCATTATGAACCACGTCCTGTTGCAAACTGGAGTGATGAGGACAAAATTATGGTTGAATTGGRCAGCAAGTGCAAACGATTGTTAATTATGGYAATACCTCACGAAATCTTTAAATGCATCGATCACTGTMAATTATCCATGGATATTTGGGTAGAGTTAGAGAAGCAGATTGAAGGAGGTAAGAAAACACTCAAAAATAATCGATCAATTTGCATTGACGAGTACCACAGCTTCAAGGCGAAAGAAGGCGAATCCCTGYCTGACACATACTCTAGACTGAACACCTTAATTAGTAACTGCAAGAGGTATGGAGTCATGAGAACGGCAGAGGACAACAACTCATTATTCTTGAAGAGCCTTGGAGTTGAGYGAATGCACCTCACCATGTCCATGAAGGCCACCCTAGACTTGGAAATATGGACTCTAGCAGACTTGTTTGGATCTCTTAAAAGCCAAGAGCCTCAAGTTCTRYAAATGAAAAGGAACTATGGTGGCCCTCTGGCTCTAGTCGCAGAGGATGGATGCTCAGGAAAGGGGAAAGAGGCACAGAAGAAAGAGAAGGAGAAGAAGAAGAAGAAGAAGAAGAAGAAGGTATTGATAGCAGAGAGCGATGATAGTTCTGATGAAGAAGTCTCCATGAAGGAGATGATGAAAACTCTGGCCTTAATCACCAGAGAATTCAGGAAGGGTGGAGAGAGGAAATAGTTTAAAAGTTTCAACAGAAGAAACTTTGCAGAGGGAGAGAGATCTGAGACAAGAGAGAAGGAACAGAAGCCTTCGCAGAGGGTGGAAGAACAGAGGAAGGAAGAGCCAAAAGATGGCTGCTTTAAATGTGGCAAACCAGGCCACTTTGCTGCAGACTGCTGGTCAAAATGGCCAAGGACACCACAGAGGGGTCCTAAAGATGCAGCCTTCTATAAAAAGAAGGCTGACTACTACCAACAGAAGTCTCTGCTAGCTCAATCAAATGAGCTATTAACTGATGAGTCCTCTGATGAAGACGAACATAAGGGTCTTCTCGCATGGGAAGACTCGGACATAGAGGACGAGCTCTTCTGTGGGATGGCATACATCAATTCAGACTCCTCTGACAGAAAC